AAGAGTTAATACGCACAGGCGCTTTAACATCAGCCATCGGTTTTCCGTTTGTGTAAAATTGCACATGCAATAGATTCGACAAGACAGACCCGACACGGGACAATAATTTAATAACAGCACAGGCAATAATAGCGACAATATTCCTCTCACGAGGTCATTAGCCGGGGCACATGTTCAGTCGTCATTATCGATCATTACGTTAAGAATCCCCCGGGTGAAGGAAGAGAGAGAGAGAGAGAGAGAGAGAGAGAGAGAGAGAGAGAGAGAGAGAGAGAGAGAGAGAGAAGAACAGAAAAAAGAAATGATCTCACAGGCAGGCGTCGACTTGCAAAAAAATTCGAGAACAAAGCGATGGCTGAGTAACGACACGCGTGTTTCGCGGTAAATTACTGCGTGCGTGGAAACGACGACGCGGGGAAGGGGGGTCAAGGTTGCGGCGAGATTACGTGGAGGGCACACGAGAAGGAGAGAAGGCCTCGATTTAACGTTTTCCTATTCGCTCGCTCACATTCGCCGGAACGGCGAAGAAGCTACCTGGTGTTGAACGCGCCGCGCTGCGTGCAAGGTCGCCCCTAAATTTTCCTTGTGTAAAAGTAACGTATAGGATGTATAAATAACATGGGAGGGAGTCCCTATAGACATGACCTTCCTTCTCTTGTTTATTTGCCTTATGCATACACACTAAGAGCCGAATGGATAGACGAGCAGGTCGAGGTAGTAAACACAAAAAAAAACAATAGATAGCATAACGATAGAATATAATTCAGACACCCGTCGGTGAAGGTCGAGCGGGATACGGAGACGCACCGAGTGCCAGAACACCTTCGAGTCAGGCTTTCGCGCAATTAATTCACGCGACAATTGATTAAAAATGGCGGTTCGAATGGATATACGCTGGCGGGCAGTCGGAGATCTCCAAGGGAAAGCGCACGAGGAAATCACTAACATATCCCAGCCTAAAGCTCACCATCCAGCACCAAGAGGTACAATGGACATCAAGGGAAAGCGCACGAGATGTCCCTCTCAGCTGCTGGTTCAGATCACTTAGGCCATATCGGGCCCTCCGGGAAAACGCACGGTGAGCCCGGTCTGGTGAACAAGAAAACATCGGAATCGGACCGGTGTCGAAGGGAAAACGCACGACGACATCGGTATTCGGAATTAAGGGAAATCAACTAATTGTGTAAGGGAACAATGCTCGACCCCGGTCACCCGATAAACATTAGAAAACAATGGTTTGATTAACACTCACCAACTTTCCGCACGAGTGGCGACGGCATGTCTCTTTCGGGTGTCCAACAGCGACTAACTGCCTACCTCTATCGCGACATCGTTTTTATAATCCGCGTCTCTATCTTCCAAACGTAAACACATCGTTTTCCCCACCATTGACCTCGCTGTGATCCTTATTGTTTTTCAACGCTCCGAATGTCCATTTCGGATTTTCACATGCGATACTCACACCTCGTACGATATGAATGGTCAGGTATTAGAAGCAAGAATAGATTCAATATTTTCATTACAATTGTGTGCTTTTCTTCAAAGATATACACAACAACAGATCGTCGGCATTCTTTAGAAGAGGAAAAAGAAAAAGGAGCGAACAAGCGAAGAAAAAGAAAAAGAAAAAAAAATATTTGTCTCATACTTGATCCCGCGGAGTCTCCGTCTCGAGGCGAGGCGCCGACCGGGAAGTTAAATCCCACCGCTACCTCGTCGATCCCGCTCTTAGTCCGGCAACCGAGCGGTGGTCTTGTGCATTGTTATTTCGATCAGTCGCGCGTAGTAACTGAATCCATGTGGCGCGTTGAATCGGAAATTCGAGCGCGGCCGAAGCAGACGTCGAACTGGAAAATCGACGCTCGGGGGAAGTTTCCCGGACAAATAGAAGAGGCTAAGTGAGCCTCATTTCCTACCTGCGAGCCAGCCTACACGTCGCCGAAGGCCGGAGAAACGACCTTACACTTCGCGCGATTAAATATTTTTTCTTCACCCGAACCAGGCGAAGCGCTTTTCGAAAGTAGGATAAGATATCGCTGTAAGGCCGGCGTATATCCTTGATAAAAATGGCAGAGGGCCGAGGGGAGCGGAGGGAATGTGAGTGAAAGAGAGAGAGAGAGAGAGGGAGGGAGAGAGAGAGAGAGAGAGAGAGAGAGAGAGAGGGAGGGAGAGAGGAGGTAAGAAAAAGATTTATAACACGAAGGCAATTTCTCAGCCGTCTCTTTTTGCTCCTCGCATCGCGATTAACGCTCGACTCGCGCCGCCGTTATTCTCGCTGCAGTTTGTTCTCCGTTAATTAAGCGCGTTTCGATAACACCGTAAGCGGCAGGTAATCGATATACGGCGTCATCGACATGCTCGATTAACCGGGGATGAGGTAGAAGTGAGCACCGTGCGCGACGTGTGTGTTTCGATGAAAACGCTACCGCCATAAACGCATCGATAAGTGAGCGACTCTCCCGCTTGCACGCCTCGCGCTCTCTCTCTCTTTCTCTCGCGC